TATATATATATATATATATAATTCTATTCAGCAGCCATAGATAGTTCTTACTTTGTTTCATACAATCGTTCCTCTTTATTTTGTCAATTTAAATAGACTCATTGATCTTCCCCATATCTGGCCAAACGTTGGGCTTTAGACCGCTCTATCTGGTGTCCTGTACTAACCACATGTTCAGCTAGCTCCGATTTCTGAATCCGCAAACTTTTGCGTGTCGTTTTGTGTTCTGATAACTTCGTATGTATGGACTGATAAGTCTCCCCCACATAAATACTACAGCATGAACAGAAAGCCTTATAACAACCTGATCGACAAAGGACGTCTTAAGATCCTTTAAAAGAAGGCATGACCGAGGAAAACTTTAATGGTAGCATTATAAACCTGGACGAAGTGTTGCCTAATTCATTATTTTGTCCCAAATTATGATTTTCTTTCACCATATTTATTTGCATTTCGAAATAGTTAACACTTAATCCTAACGGATAATGGTTTTCAACTAAGATTTTTCCTACCCTTTCTAACTCTTGGTCCCTATTATTTATGTCAGCTAGACGTAAACCCCTTATTCTCAGTGATTTTATCACCATAAGTATGATTTGAGAAGAAATTATGAAGGAAACCCACATTGTTAGTTTTATATATACATTTCTACCCAGTTCGTTCCCTTCTTTAATAACTAGTATATCTAAAAATGGTAACTTACTGTACTTCTTTAACTTCGTAGTGAATTTAGTCGTCTTATATAAACTATTCATTAACCCAAGAAGGTCTTCCAAACACTCTTTCCCGTGCTGACAGATAGCAAAGTAATCATTCATATATCTTGCCAGTAGTTTCGGAATTATATGCGACTTGAAAAAACCGGACTTTCAATTAGGCCATATAGCTATTAGCCAAAACTGGAGACAAGCCTCCGATTTGCTCGTATAATTTACGCTTAGAGATAAAATATGTACTATTTATTATTAAATTCGTCGATCTCATAATTGTCTCACTGCTTATCTCATTTCCTGATATAATCTTTGGGTGAAGATCTAAGGTTAATCCTAAGGCCTGTATGGCCCCACTTACCAGTATATTCGTGAAAAACGATACTACACCAAAACTTACTAGCAAATCTTATTATATTGTTTGTCCATCTATTAACTTAATAAAGTCATAGGAATTCTTTATTGAAGATTTCCTCAAAACTGCTTTAACTGACCACAAAGGAAGCGTGATGTTTTTTGCATCACACCACCCTTATTGTTCACACTGTTTCTAAGTGGAATCCTCTCTTTGTGAATTTTTGGCAGGACATATGCATCAGGAGGTCCAGCGAAGCGTTGGAGAAGTGCATTCGTTTTCAACTTCTCCAATTCTCCAATATTAATGCATTGTTGCAGGCAACTCTTAAGTCTCGACTTTAGTGTTTCTGTAGGAACT